TATATATATATTATATTATTAATAAGATGGCCGAAGGCTATTTAAGGAGTCCCGACCATCCCTCATGTGCCTAATAAATCGAGTACCACACCCTACACACGGGGGTAATCGAACTCAGATCAAAGGGGACTTACAACTGACAAGCAGATGCTCGACCAACTGACCTGACTATGATCATTTTTCACCCTGAGTTTGCGGCGCATATATATATATATATATATATATATATGCGCCGCAAACTTCGACCTAGGTGATGCCCTCTTTGTATTGTTTGATTAGATAGAATCATGTTATATTAATTAATTCTTATAAATTTGTTGAAGCCAAATTTATACTTTAGACCGTGCCTAAATAATAAAACTAGATTTTGGGTGGTGGAGAAGGACTAAAAGAGAAAGTGAGAGGGTTGCCTTGGGGTGAGCAGATTAAGGTTCACCGGGCTTGTTAGGCCTATTTATTCTAAATATGTTTAGGTTACAAGTGAGAGAGATGGGTAGCAAGCCCCTTACATGAGGGAGAGAGAGAGCCTAAAGAGACTCTTTTACATGCCTAGAGGCCCTCTATTTATAGAGAGAAATGTGGGCCGAAGAAATAATATATTTGCCCTTGTTTTAAGGGGTGTTCTGACGGGTACTCCGGTCTTTATCAGTCTCAGCTAGCGTCAGTTCGTTGACCAAAGTTCTTCTTCTTCTTGGAGGTGGCTGACAGGCATGAGGAGCTCGACCGTTGGGTGGTTAATATGCCTAAGAAACACCATTCCTTTAAAGTCTGACACTGAGATATGGGTAATAAATTCCTATGATGATTTTAGGTTTATATCTCTAGGAAGCAAATTAAATGGAGTTGCTTTGAAGTTATTCTCTAGCGTGAAGGCTTTTATCCCAAGTGACCAGCTAGTTCTTCGGCAAGGGTGGCTGGTCGGTTTGGCAACAAGGGTAGCTGGCCAATTCGACAACAAGGGTAGCCGAACGGTTCACCAACAAGGGTTGCTGGCCACTCGAGGATAAAGCTGTTAACTCTCATATATAATTAGGTACTGCTCCAGCCCCAATTGTCGCCCTTCCATGGCACCTTTATACAAGAAGGACTGCTTGAGAACCTTAAAGCCCGAACGTTCACCTTGGAATACGACAACAAAGCCATAACATCCTTGATGAGGCTTAAGGAATGAAAAAACAATGACAGGGCCACAGTGAAGACGAAAGCGGCGAATTCCATGACACCACAATAACCAAGAAGGCCCGCGAGGGAGACAAAGCCAACACAGACTGATGTGACTTTTTTATATGCTATGCTTCATGAAGTTCACACCACCACTTGAAGATTGTAATCCCTGACAACGATGCCAAAAACTTGATGCGACTTTTGTATATGTTATGCTTCATGAAGTTGACACCACTACTTAAAGATTTTAATTCCCTACAACGATGCCAAAAACTTGATGCAGACTTTATTATTATTATTATTATTTATTAATTTTATATATTCTAGATAGTAACAATGATATAAACGCAAGTATAAGTATCACTCAAGTACGTAAGTATAAGTATCACTCAAGTAATACAGTGCTCTAATGGAGTCTCATTTATCGATCCTACAGGGAAGCGAGGTAAGAGGTCCTTAGTCAAACTTCTAGTATACTACTATCAGACCTTAGATTGGAATGTCGATTAAAATGGTGCTTTATCTAGCAACTAGTTCTAAATGCAAATGTTAAATGTAATGATAATAACTATTCCTAAAAAAAATGTTGATTCTAAAGATAACTTTTTTTTTGAATAAATTGATTTAGAGAATCTAGAGATGTTAAAAACTAATATTCTTATGTAGTGAATTGTATAATATAAAGAAATGTGATGTATTAAATATTTTATATGCCAAATAGGATCAATCATACTCTTTACCCTCTCCCGAGTGCTATAAAGAACATTGACTAATTCTAGGTTTACTCCCTAAATCCATGGTTAGGCTGGGAGGATACTGACTCTCACTACGGAGCTCCCACTTCCCTTCGCCTGAAGGCTAACTCTCGCTTTAGTTTCCAAACACTATGACCAAATTGGAGATTTTATTCTGTCACCCTAAAATCTCCAATTCTACGCTTAATAATTTTTATTTCCCTATTTATTTGCACCCAACTTTCAAGGTCTTCCATGAACTTCACCATCCATGGAATTGGAATGTGGTTCCAATTTGTTGAGAATTACACCGCTCTCTAGGGACTTAATGCAATTACAACGAATTTTAACACTACAACAGGCTTTTATTGTAATGTAAATGAAGTGCGAGTAAAAACCATCACAATTATAATTAAAACTTCTTCTAGCATGCATCCAAATATTCTAAACATGAATCCTACTCATTGCAAAAAAAAAGTAAAAGGAAAATCTTGGCATAATCTTCTCATGCACTATTTCCAAAAAAAAGGAGTAAGAGAAACACATCACAAAGCACGAAGAAAATACAATAAAAAACTTCATTAAATCAAAGCAAATCCACTAGATAAGTGTTTACAAAATCATAAGATAATGAAGAACACAATACTTAATTTTTTCCCCTTGAAAGAAAGATAAAAATCTCTCCCACAAAGTCTCCCGCTGATTCATGCAATGCTAGAATATTCCCTTACAGATTCTCTCAAAATCCCCTCACCAATCTCTCCAAAAGAGTAGAAATTTAAATATTCTCCAAATTTTTCCACTCGCACACACAACTTTTTCTGACATAAAAGCACTCTATTATAGTGTAGGGATGAATTTCCCAACAAATTCCTCAAGCAACCTTCCAAAAAATGTCCAAATACATTGAATCTTCTAGAAATTCGCCCAACATCACGTCCAAACTGTCTCGGGCACTGTTGGCGCTATTTTGGGTGTCGTTGGCTCCATTTTCATGTCGTTCTTTGCACTCTGGCGCCGGCTCCGGTTTTGGCATCGTCGGCGTCCACCATGCGCAGCTCCATCATTTTGCTTCGTTTGGTTCCGTTTGATATACCTACAAAATATACATAAAAATAATTTTACTTTAAAGTATAATTTCATTCAAAAATATGTGAGAAGTGTAAAATAAATTAAGCATAGAAAGACAAATCGAAATGTGCTAGGATAATATTTTAGTTTTTGCTCGTTTTCGCTACAAATTGCATCATTTTTGCTTCTTTTTCTCTAAAACTCCATTTCTAGTACCTAAAACCAAAAATATACAAAATACATTTCTTTAAATTGCAATATCATTGAAAATCACCAAATATAGACATTAAAAGTATATGAAAAATTGAACATATTTTAGCCGTATCAAAATCCCCCAAACTTAATTATTACTTGTCCTCAAGTAACACATTTACTACAGAAAAGTTTCGACTAATGATAAAGAGTTTAAATTCTAAATTTCTATAATTTGGTCTACTAAATGAACTTAAGAAATTTTTTTTAACAACGTAAGTCAAAACTAAAAGTATAAGAGCATCTAGTAGTGAAGTCTATGATTTTTTATTCTCTATTCATTTCAAGAAGAATTGCAATTTGTCATATTAAAGTCACTTAGAATATCGATATGAAAAAGAAATTCATGAGAAATTCATGAGAACTTTATTAGTAACTCAAATACAAGTTTAAAAAATGTAATAAAGCCTTTTTCCTCAAGTTGATTCAATTGAAGCCAACAAGTTGATTCAAGTTGATTCAATTGAAGCCAATATTTGATTATGCATCTCCTCAAGATTCTCCACACACACTTTTCTTTTCTTTTTCTTTTCTTTTTCTTTTTTATTTTAGGATCATTTTTAATCCTTTCTTTTTTTCTCTTTATTTTCATGTGAGGATTACTATATTTAGATAGCCTTTAATAATTTTGAATTTCACTATCCTCTTCTTAATGTTAAAAACTTTTCACATTCCTTCACTTTATAAATTCATATTAGCTTTGAAGATTTTTCATAGAGACTCATTCTTTTCTTCTTACATGAAACTCTAAGATTCTTAATACTTCAAAAATATAATTTCCGTTACTTTAAATAAAAAAACATAGTCTTATCCTTTCGTACCAAACATCTTAACTCTAGAATTAACTTTCATTATTGAAAACTTTTACAAAAGTTAGCCTCTGATACCAAAGGTCATGTTAAATTAAATTTTTAAAATATAGCTAATTGAGGACAAATAAAATTTAATTTCATTCTTTTAAAGAAATTTTTCTTCCCCCCAAACTTAAATTTTTAAATATTTTGCAATTAATTACGTAAAATGTAACAGGAAGAAAAAGTAAAACTTGAATCTACTAACTACTAGAACATCCTATCAAAATTATATACATTCATAATCAGGATAGAATGACTGCAGGAGAAAGTAAATCTAGCTTAAAACATTCATGCAATAATACTAAATTAAAAGGAAGTATACTCACTTTAAAATTTTATTTATCTTCCTACTGCTAAACTTGATTTTTAACATGTATAGCATTTAGTACAGAAGAAATAAGTAGGAAGAAAAATAGTTTAGAAAATTCTATCTACCAAAAATGTCTATAAAAAACATTTACAATTATTGATATGTAGTAGAAAGTAAATTTAAACTAAACATGCTTGATAAAATTGAAAGAAAGGTCTAACAAGCAGCATAGGTATCATCATAGGAATATATTTTTTTATGTGTTCTCCATATCCTTATATTATTGTAACACAAACACTAAAACACATGATAAATGAGATCAATTTTTCCTTTAACTCATCACATCTCACTAACTTACTTTCAATTTCTAACGGAATCACTACACAGATATATTGA